TATCACACTCGACGTCAGAGCTGCCTTTCATCGTTTCACAGAATTTGCAACCAAACAGGTTCATCCCGAGAATACTACAACACAACGAAACGTGCAATGTACTTCCTTATCCGTAAATACACTTACCGACGAAACTTAAGGAACAAGGCAATTGATAAAGCGATTTAGGATATATTCTTTTCTCACTTGTTCGATTTTGGTAATCGATTGGAAGATAGCATCGATGAAAAGTGGTATAATTATGTTTCCTCGAGAACGCAGGTATACACGGTGGATATTTCGATTAATTTTGTATGTAGAAGCGTGAGAATTGAATATAACGAAAATATTGTCGAGACAAAATTTAAGAAACATTTATTTCGCAGGTTGTGTGTAATTTGTCGGTGACAATTTTTTTCAATGAAAATGTCAATTTTCGTTGTATTAGTAAGACGCTAAATCTGCTGATTTTTCTATAATTTGACGTCTGATAATTAATAACACATTTTGTTCTAATGCAAAAATCTGTCGACATTTGGAACTGTACTTTGCAATTTCGGGTGTAATTTAATTTTTATCTACATACAGGTATACTGTTGATTTTTGTGGAGCACAGTTTAACAAGCGTTAAGGAGAGTGACGTTTTCTTTTGTCAAAAATATTTTTACTAATTTTTAAGTATGCTTCGATTTTTCTTCCTTGATTTCTTCTGTTGTGAATGTAACTTGCGATTTTGCAATATACTCTTGGTATAGAAATTTGTCTTCAATTTGTATCAATTAGCCAGTGTTATTAACCCTTCGTATCTGTGGACGAGATTACTCACGAACTGATTTTTATGCAAATTTTTGGACGAGAGGAGAAGAGAAATGCGAGATATCTCGTTCGAAACTTCGAATCACGAGATATCTCGCGTCCAAATGAGAAGACACGCGAAATATCTCGAACGAAATGTCGCCTAAACGATATATCGTCGCAAAATATCCCGCCGAGGATAGAAAAGGGTTAATCAGAAAGCAATTCTGCGCCATTACATCTCATTCTCGAAATTTTCAAATTACTTCAAGATATCTGCTGTTTGCAAATTACTTTAACCCTTTCGTTACTATTAGCGCCTATAGGAGTTTTCAAAATTTTCTCACATTATACTGTTAAAGCATTTTGGTACACTTGCACCTGAATTTAACCCCTTAACGTATGATTTCTTTTCTGACTGTGCATATAAGCGTCGGCCATTTTGTTTCAGTACTGTATCAGGTAAGAAAAGCTAGTCTGTTACAGATTAATTAGATTCAGGGATACTTATTCTTACAAATTAAAACGAAAGTTGGGATTGCAATGAATTTTTCTTACTAATATAACTGTTTTTGCCTATTTCGTTAATATTTAATACTTAATACTTCACGCACTTCCGCCTTAATTTAATAAACCGAATTTCAAAACGATACGGCCGAAATAATAAATTTCACAGCCGTGGTTAAAAATTTATCGTCAGACTGTCCACGTTACGCATTAAAATCTGCCGTAGCGAAAGGGTTAAATTGCAATTTGTATAAAATTCTTTTATTATTTTTTTTTTTGGGTCACAACATTTATTTTTCTTTATCTGTTTTCATTAAATAACTTCTCTTCAATGTTTCCACGTATAACAACTGAATCTCACGTCCACGATTAATATTTCACACAAAACTGACTCTCTCTGAATACGAAACAAAGGATAACAAAAATACAACATAATGTTTCTTAACTTTTTTCTGCACCGTTTTGCACAGTTTCTGTTATTAAATGCAGCAGATGTCAAATTCTCTATATCGTTGTATTTTAAACAACTGCAATCTATTTGGAACATCTGACGATACATATTGATCAAATACATAATGCGAACTTGTTTTGTTTCTTAACTTCTGTCGGTAAGTGTACATAGATAGATAGAGATAGAGAGAAAGTGGGAGAAAGAAAAGTAGTAAAAATAGGGTATGTCGAGAAAAACACAAGGAAATTCAGGTGGGAAAAGTATGAGAACAGAAAATGAAATGTAATTGAAAAGAAAGAAAACAAAAAAAAACAAAAAAAGAAAAGAAAGCTTCCCTCGATTACAATAAATCAAGTTACTTAGCAGGTAAAGTAGGCACGTCCTAGCTTCTGTAATGTTGACCTGCTTTAAAATTGATACAACGAGTACTTTTCTCTTCGCGAACAATATATATGAAAATTTTATTTGATAAATGTTCACTGTGTCGGAAATTGTTAAGCTTCGGTGAATTAGAAAGTTACGTCTTCACGAAGGAATTTAATTACTCATCATTTTAATTAAAGAATTTAAATATAATCTGGTGTTTTCGAATAAATAAAAAATTGAGAAAGTAGAGTCTCACTTTTGCAAAATCTTTAACGCTAAATATATCACTGAAATTCATATAAAATACTGGACAAATTAACGCTTGAAATTCACATAAAAGGCTGGATAAATTAATGCTTCACTTTCTTAGAAATGGTGCATACACTACTAACCAAAAGTATAGAACTGATGGAGAATGTATGAAACATTACGTTGCAAGAGTTTGACAACAATCGAGAAATGCTAACTTTCTTTTTTATTTTATTGTTACTTCTTCGTGTTCAAAAGTGAAAAAGCCACAGACGAAATGAAAAAAAAAAAAAAAAAAAAATACCGTTCGAATTTGCACAAGTGAAAGAAAATGCTTCTTTCTAAATAATCGTCGTCGAAGTATCTGATTCGCAGGTACAAGTGAAATTAACGTGTTGCCATTTGAAATTCTCAGCTTTGTGCAGAAATATCGAGATGTATTTAGAAGTATGAGAGAAACTACTTTCCACATATTGAAACATGATTTACTAACGAATAATGCTGCAACGACAACTTGTTAATATAGAACAAATATCAGCTTGTCACATTAGATACACATACGACTTTATCTTCACAATATGCCATTGAAAGACAGCTACATGTAAGGAACATGCTTTTGGCCAATAGTGTACGTTGCAACAAATCTATGTATAAACACCTATCGAACGGTTATTAGAGCTAATGCTTATACATTTTTTCATCGGAGAACAGAGAGAACGAACGAAAAGATGTGTAAAAGAGTATCTTATGAAAGAGCGATAATTCAAATGAAATTTGTCCTCGACAAAAAAAGAAAAGAAAATCAAACTTACTCGAATTACTTGAAGAGAATGACCCCAAAAAAAGAAAAAGAAAAAGAATGACACGTAATCGACAACGATCTGAGATGAACAAATGACCGGTTGACCATCCGAAGAGTGCACGTTAAACCTTGAATCAGCGAGAAACTAATGTTTGCAGCATTGTCAATTGAAAATGAAACAAAAAAAAAAACAAAAAAAACCGAAAGAGATACATATTATCCATTCGCCAGCTGTCTAAATATCAATGACCACACCGAGGCGCACTTTGTAGGCACTTACAGTGTACATAGCAAAACAAGAGAGAGACGGAGGAGTAGAATAAGAGAAAAGAAGTACGAATACACGTATAATTAATAGGTAACTGTGCGTATGTCTGTGTGTGTGTGTAGCTGTCATACCCATCTCTAGATGAAAGCACCATGCACATATGAAGTACACGCATACGTCTATATACCGGGTGTCCAAATTTTTTCCGACCAAACTTCGTCGGTGTGTTCTATGGGTGTAGGTAAGAAAAAAATGTGGTACAAACATGGGTCGTTTGAAGCTTGGTTGAAAAGTTGTAACAAAAAGTAGGAAGAAAATGACAACGAACTTGCGGTTGCTATGATACAAGACAAGAACGGCACTGGCGGAAGTTACATTCGACGCCTTCAACTACCTCAGATCGTAAACGCAGCTCGCATAAACGGGCTTTAGATGCACATTCCGCTGATCTATTCCAATTTTGTGTCGTAACCGCACATACGTTTTTCGTATTTTTGTTGTAACTTTTTAACGAAGCTTCGAACGACCTACGTTTATACGACATTTTTTTCTTACTTACGTCCGTAGAATGTACCGACGAAGTTTAGTCGGAAAAAATTTGGACACCCTGTATATACATGTATGTGTAAATATATATATATACACGTATATATATATATCGATGTTCATATGTATGACAGGTGTCCTCTAATGAAATAGTAAAAAATAAAAAGAAAAGTAATATACACGTTGGATGCCTCAAGCCATGAGAAAGGGCGAACAAAACGCCCCTCGTAGACGTGCCAGCAAAACACCGATCGTCATTACCATTTGAACGTCAGAAAACGTCTGCTCGCAAACGCAACAGAGTCGGTAGTAATAATGAACGAGAACTGCTGCGGGACTCGATCATCTATGTACGTAAGATGCATTTACGTGGCGATCCATATGCCGTGAGAGAAGGTAAAAAAAGCGCATAAAGAAGAAAAAGACAAAGGAGTATAAAACGGAAGACATAGTCACCTAATACATTTCGTGTTCGAAGAGCAGTGACAAACAAGCTCCAGCTCCTGTGGAAGCTCGTAAGCGGACAAGAAGCTGTTCTCAAAATACATTAAATATCAACGAGACCATAGAGAAACGTTTTTTTTTTTTTCGATCATCCGATGTTTCTTTTTCTGACACACGCTGTAGTTGCTCTGTACAGCTACTCCGATCGACCGACGAGAATTAGAGATTAACGCGTAGGTACGATAGTCTCGTTGACACGTAATGTTCAAGTTTTAAATAATCTCTCCACAATCAGTAAATAGTCCATCGATAATCCAATGATTTCAATTCGCTTTGGCGGTCATGCAAACGTTATATGCTGATGAGATGATTATCTGAACAGGAATATACGACGTTAATCCGCGTCCGTGAACACGAAATGCGGTTCGTTCGATCCGCGTGATCCATCGGGATACATCGAACGCGACAATGATGTCTGCCGCGAACCGCGATCCTGGAACGTGGATCTCCGATTTCTAACGGACTCTGACGAATGCGAGAACCGTGACACAATTCCGAGCACCGTTGTCTAAAAGGGAAAGGGAACAACTTACCTGAATATAAAGATGAAAAGTACTAAAAGGGAAAAGAATACGGCAACGTTATCCATGGTGCGCAACATCACGAATAACTGCCGCCGGAGATTCGGTAGGAAACGCACGAGCTTCAGGATTCTCAGTAGCCGGAACGTTCTCAACACGCTCAATCCAGAACTACCGCTTCTCTCCTCCACAAACGCTTGACAAATCTCCACGACGCTAGACGTTCAACATAAAATTGTTTTCCTTTGCCTTTTTTCGACTTGTTCAGAGGAATTTTGTGTAATATAGAATCGACGTTAATTGCAAAGAATCTTTTCTCGTTAATGTTTGATAAATCTTATCTTTAAAAGTTATCGAATGTTCTTTTTTTTTTAGAAAAATTCGAATTTTTGCGGCAAAAAATTTCTTCAAAGATAAACTTTTGCAAAGTATACGTAATAATTTTACTATCCGTTGCTAATATGCCATACTGTTTTAGGGGATATGTTTAAAAAATCGACATGTTTAGATGTGAAAGTTCAATGAATTTTAATATCAATTATAAAGTCGACTGCAAAGGATTTCACGCACACTTATAAATAACGAATACTTGTTGACTAATTTTGGTAATGGAGAAAAGTACTTGTGAGTAGGCAAAATTTGTTAAATTACGTTAAAACGATTTTGATACAGGTAGATTTGTATTCGCGTTATTGCAACTCGTGAATCGAATTTTGTAAATTAACAAATTTTCATTGAACCTTCATATCCCTTGCTTTAACGTGAATGAAAACCGATGAAAATGCTCAAAGTAAAGAGGATACTAATCAAAAGTTACATTGCGATTGTAAAAATTAAATTATTTTTCGTCGTTTCTACATATCCCTAATCAAACAAGAAAAAAAAAAAAATAGAAACGTTAAGAAAAATGAATCATTTTGTGTATATACCTGAGTACGACAACAACTCCGTCGAAAACGTTGAATCCGTTGCTTATGTATCCAAATGGGCCTTCTGCGATTATCTTGAGTAACATTTCCACAGCAAAGACGGCCGAAAATACAATATTGCTTATCTCAACCACTATGGTCAATTGCTCTGGCTGTATCGACCGATGAAAAAAAAAAAAGATATCACATATTTAACGCACATATTTAATTACAAAACGTCAATTAACCCCTTGTCTTATGACATCGAATCATACTCGTGACATAAGTCATGATCCGAACGTGAGTTATATGTACACAGACTAAAACTTAATGTAATACAGATAGTAACAGTGTAGTATAGTGACAGTATAGTGACTGTATAGCGATAGTATATCGATAGTATAGACTGAGTATTTGGAATATAGAGCATTGGAATGGAAAGCTTAATGTAATATAGATAGTAACGGTGTACTGCACTGTACCCCTTCCAAGGAGGAACACGTTAGGGGTGCTAGTACAGGGAAGTGGTGATAGGTTGTACGATGGGTCAAGGGCAAAGAATGGTCCTGAAAAGGATCCACCACTCATGTCCACCAAAAGTTCACTCCAGTTTTTAGTGAGCTTCCAAGAGAGCAAGAACCACTAATAGTCGTAGCAAACAAGTATTGACACTAGGTTTACGGAAATTTCTTATACACCTACTGTTCGTTCAAAATAAGAATAACCTCGCTCTCGGATCGATTTTCGTCCGTTCTGCGCATAGACAGAGAGCGTAGCAGAGGGTAAGACGGAGAAAAATGTAGGCGGGGTTTGGACGTTCTAGCCCTGCCTTAGGCACGTCCAATGCGCGAAACGAGGTTATTCTTATTTTGAACAAAGGGTAGTACAGTGACTGCACAGTGATAGTATAGCGATAATATAGCGACAGTATAGCGATAGTACAGTGACAGTATAGTGAGAGTATAGCGATAGTATAGTATATTGACTAAAGCTTAGCGTTCTAGCCCTGCCTTAGGCACGTCCAATGCGCGAAACGAGGTTATTCTTATTTTGAACGAAGGGTAGTACAGTGACTGCACAGTGATAGTATAGCGATAATATAGCGACAGTATAGCGATAGTACAGTGATAATATAGTGAGAGTATAGCGATAGTATAGTATATTGACTAAAGCTTAAAACTTAAAAAAAATAATTTTAATTATTGAACAAATGAAATGGACGGAGTGTTTTGACCGAGTACGTATTTGGAATTAGAATGCCAAAGTTTGGGTGGTTGCGGCAACTAGAGGGAGGGACCGTTACGAAATTGTAAGTTAAAGAGGAAATGCATAAGCGAGGTATAATCATCATTGACAGTGATGGAGTGTCTAACCCCATAAAAGTAGAGTAGTGCAAAAGTTTGGTACATTAATAAACTTTTGGTGTTATTAGAAAACTGAAATAATTGTTGCACCAAAACCTGCAACTTGTGTTCCTACTAGCTCGATACCAATTGTCACGTAGAAATGTGATTAACTGACAAATCGAAATTTCAAAGAAAATTACGCGACAAGGGGTTAATCTACTTTATTCCAAAACGATAACAAGTAAAATTCAGGAAAAATACAAAAAAATTCAATCTTATGGTACAAAGAGAAATACTGACCTGATTATGATACTCGATCCCCATGCTCAAAGTATTGATTAAAATCGCGAATAAAATACCCTGTTGAAAGTATTTGTGCTCGACCAGCTTCTTAATCGACCGTCTTATGCAGCGTACCGCGCAAACACAACGGTTTCCGCAAGTTCTCAGGAACTTTCTCGCTCGCGAAGTTTTTGTCCATTTATCACCGTCGTCTGGCCATTGATCAACGCCTTGGAGTTCACAACAACAGGAACAATTATCAATATCCGATGCTAACCACTGTGTACGATCCTCCAGTGAAATATGTCGATCGGTTATTCCTGAAAAAAATATCCCTGTACATATACATACGTGACTGTAAAGTCGAATATTGCGTTGTATACCGATTTTAATCTCTAATGTTGTTGTTGTTTTTTTTTCCTTCTTTTTCCGTTTTTCTCTGTGGCTTTTCATCGCGATAAAAAGTAAATCAAATATAGGATAGTGTAAACGTTAAAACTGATCGGCTGCTGTTAAATTTATCTTGTACACATATAGACTGAAGATAAATATTGCAACATTGATGGGAGATATAATAAAGAGAAAGTAGAATTGTGTAATTAATTAATGCTTGTAATATGTACAAATAGAAATATTGTACAGTTAAGAATTTTGTACTTTTTAAAGTGAAATATTAAATTGGAATTCATTTCTTTGTACAACTTCGAATCATCCTATCGGTAATTTACAAATTTCATCGCCGAAAAATGATACAGCTTTCGAATGGATGAGAGTAATGAAAATAATGATTATTGAAAAAATGTATGGAAAAATAAGTGCGTGCAAAATATGTTAAACTAGAGTACCATATAATGAATCAGTAACTATTACTCGTGTATTCAATTTTGCTACCGCCTATATCTTATTTAAATATAGAACATGAAATGACAAATTAAACTAGATGTTTTACTATTAACCATAATCGATGGTTAAGTATCAATTGCTAAATATTAATTTCAATGTAAGTTTTAACGTTATACAAATGTCTTTTAATAGCTAAATATTAAAACAAATACGCATGCACAAGCTAATACAGTAATATCTCTGACACTGTCGCCCTGGTCGGAAACGAGAGGCGTCAGTTTGGGTAGAGGAGACACGGTTATCGGGGGTCGCAGCCCCCGTCTTTGTAGTTTTCCGAACGAAGACAAGGACAACGGACGAGGCAACTTTCTCTGTATGAAAATGGGGGGAAAAGAGAATGGGGAGGAAACTAAGTTTTTGCGATAGTTTGAAGGAAGGGTCAAGCGTCACTGTGAAGGGGGCCGAAACACACTTTGAATGGGGGGGAGGGACGATGAGTGGCACGAGTTCAACGGACCGTTGTTACCGTAAATTTATATTACAAGTATTTATTAT